GTAGTAAAAACATGTGTGAAAAGTGAACGCAAAATAGTAAACTATTTAAGGTAAGTAAGGTACTGCTCCCTTTTCTTTTTAAAAAAACCTTGGCGAGAGGGGGTGGATATGGCCGAAAGTATTTTGCGAAATTCGTTGGATCCTGAATAATGGTGAATTTTTTTTTTTTACGATAAGTGAAACTAACCCCACGGGTGTCACTTTTCGAAACTTTTTTCATTTCGCGTAGGTTTAGTTTTGGGAGATCGGTTTACGTTAATTTTTCATTTCGCTGTCACTTCGCGTAGGTTTAGTTTTGAAATATCAGCTTACGTTAGCGTAGAAATAGGCACTTTGTAATAATATCAGGGACCTTCAGGAAAATCGAATTTTGATTTCTTTTCGATATTTGTAACGAAACGAAAGTAGAATGTACTTTTAATTCTGTTTGGTAAACGAAACGAAAGTAGAATGTACTTTTAATTCTGTTTGGTAAACGAAATGAAAGTCGATAAGACTTTGGATTCAATTTGTTAAATCGAAACGAAAATATAATGACTTTTGATTCCGATAGTATCCGTCGCTAAGTGACTCTAAACTTCAGACTTAAAACGTAAGACTTAATAATTTAAGACATGACTTGATTCAGTTAGAAAACCGGATGTAATCTGTCAAACTTTCGTATCGTTTAAAAAAGAAAATCAGAAGTATACATTCTACATACTTTTCGTTCACTAAAAACAAATCGAAACTAAGTTAACTTTTGATTATGATTTCGCAATCAAATCCGAACAAACTTGACATTTGATTTTGATTTCGGAATCAAAACTGAACAAATTTGACTTCTGATTCGGATATCCTGAATAGAATCAAAACAAAAGTGTTTTTGAATGTTGTTTTGATTCCGTCAAGGTCCCTGTATAATATACCAACATATTTTTTTATTGTAGAAAATATACTCCAGTTCTGAAAAAATGCATTTTTTTATTTTTGAAATACATGTATTTCTAACCTCCTGAAATTTGTGAATCGTCAACTCCTTCGGTATCATCTTCCCATGCACTGACTTGCATAGTATTTGATTGTTCTGTTAAAATTTTTGACAAATGTTTCTCACATAAATAATATATCCATCTTTCCTTTTTTCCTCCTGTGTTATTTCTTTTAGTTTTGGGTAGAATACAGTGTTGCCGGAGCGGGAGCCCTCAAATTCCCGTCAGTCTAGTATATAAAATTCCCGATTTCTCCCGGAAAAATTTCTTAAATTTCCTTGCAATTTCCCACCATATAAAATTTTAATTTATTAGAATTATAATATAATATATAAGCTCTGATAAAAGATTATTATTATTTGTATTGCTATTGTTACTATTTTTATTGAGTTTTTATGTATTTCATTTTTAATTTTTGAATGTAATTATCGTTTTATAAATCATTAAAACTTTTTTAAAATATATTCTGTTAGAAAACTTGAGTTTTAGTTAAAAATCTATTAAATTTGTGCATTATTAGAGTATTTCCCGTAATTTATTCATTTCCCGTAAAATTTCCCAATGCTGTCAAAATTTCTCGTACTCCAGGAAATTTCCATGTAATTGGCAACACTGGTAGAATATCAAAACCATGGAGTAGTATAAGGCTGCAGTCCCATGGTAGCGTTTTGCGTTGCGTTTTGTCACTAGACCATGAGTGTAAAAGAGATGCAGATATATGTTTGCTATGTTTACACTCAGGGTCTAGTGACAAAACGCAACGCAAAACGCTGCCATGGGACTGCAGCCTAAGGAGATCGAACGACCATGTTAAGGGTACCGTCACACTATTTGACTGGCCACACTTCAACTAAATCTAGTGAATGTTTAGTAACTTTCTATTAATTTTCCAAAAATTTCGGTTGTAACTAGAATGTTACTAAACATTCACTAGATTTCGTTGAAGTGTGACCGGCCAAATGTTTCTGCATGCATGCACAGTGCATGAATGAGATAGTGTGACCGTACCCTAAAGGCGCTTGTATACCTCACCCATCCCGAGTATACTTGCGTCGTGTATCATTGGAGTAAAAGAGACGGAAATATCTTTTTGTCTCTTTTACTCCAATGGTACACGACAGAAGTATACTCGGGATCGGTGAGGTATACAAGCGCCTTAAAGGTGCTTTTATACCTCCAGTATTTTGGTCAAGGAATAAGGTTATTCAAGTTGGGTGGGGGAAAGCCAAGATGGATGATGGCTGGTGCACAAACATCCGGCCTATCAGCCTATCAGCATTCATTCCCACGAGAAATTTCTCGTGGGAATGAATTTCACGGTTGTATCACTGAATTTAATTGGCTCTGACAAATATTAGATTTTCACCTTGAAAATTGAACTTTTTTGGAGCCAATCAAATTTAGTGATTCTCCGTAAAAATTCAATCCAGTCGATTGCTTGACCAAAATACTAAAGGTATAAAGGTGCTTTTATACCTCAAATTTCGATCAGATGAACATTATTTCTGTAGTGTGAAAATACGTGAAAAGTCATTTTCACGGCGGGTATTTTTGAATTGTTTTAAACAAAAAATGTTTTTTTAAGGAATATAATATTAAATAATTGTTTTAATATGTAAGAACACTTTAAAATAGTTATAGAAAGATGATATGATTGAAAAATTTAGCAAATTTTGCTGTTTTTGGTCAAGCCATTGACTGGATTGAATTTTCACGGAGAATCACTGAATTTGATTGGCTCTAAAAATATTGAATTTTCACGGTGGAAATGGAATATTAGTCAGAGCCAATCAAATTCAGTGATACAACCGTGCAAATTCAATCCAGACGATTGCTTTATCAAAATACTGGAGGTATAAAAGCACCTTTAGGAACATATTGGAGAAAGGCCTTTATCCGTATAATATGTCATTTATGTATTATACGTAGAAAACCTCCAGAAAATCACTTTTACCCATCTCTGGTGAAACATGAGATAGAAAAGGATATATATATATATATATATATATATATATATATATTTATATATATATATATATTAGTATCCTTTTCTATCTCATGCATCTTGGTCAAGACCTCTCTAGTGTTTTAAAATTCTCGGTAAAATTGAAACCTGAGAATGTAAGAAAGAAAATTGCGGTAAATTACCGAAAAAAAAAGAATTTATGAGAATATTCATTTAAGTGATTGATAATTGCCTTTTTTAAATTTAAATATGTATTTTTATAGTATGTAAGTTATAAATAAACGACCGACATGTTATTAAATGAATAATTTGAACAATGAATATAATAGACTGTAAGGGTGCAGTCCCATGGAGCAGATTAGCAGAATAGATTTCAGCCAATCAAAAGTTAGTCTCTCGCGGCAAATTTTGCATTTCCGTTAGAGACTGTTTTTTTATTGGTCAACGTCTAAGCTGCTAATCTGCTCCATGGGACTGCACCCTAATTTTCTCTGTGTTCTTACTGACAAGATGACAGTCGGGTATATATGCCTGCACTTTTATCATTGTCTAACACGTGCGTCGTCATGGCAACATGTGTGTTAGACAAGGATAAAAGTGCAGGCATATAAATGTACCTGATTCAATATAATAATGTAATATTATATCAATATTAATATATTAATATATATATTATATATTGTAACAAAGATATTTTTCATTATAATAATAATTATACAGTCAGGAACATATGTCTGTACTTTTATCCTCGTCATACACGTTGTCATGACAACGCACGTGTCAGACAAGGATAAAAGTATAAGTAAAAATTCTCATAAATTCTCAGAGAAAAAACGATCCGGTAATTTACCGGTAAATTACCGTAATCTTCTTTCTCTTCTTGACGTAATTTACTGTCTTTAGAACACTAGACCTCTCTCTCGGTTCGCGACTTTTAATGGCAGACAGTATTCCAGATATATAAAGGCCTTTCTCCAATAGGATCCTAAACTCTTGCGTTGCGTATGCATTGCGTCGGTTGCTATTGGCAACCAATGCTAAAATCAACGCGTCAGTCACGCAACGCAAAAGTTTAGGATCCTATTGGAGAAAGGCCTTAAGGCCTAAGCAGAATAGCTTTGCGAAAGACGTTCGCGAACGTGGAACATGAGTTAGAAAAGGACAGAGATATATTCGTATCCTTTTCTATCTCATGCATCTCGTTCGCGAACAACTTTCGTACGGAAGCCTGTACGGCTCACTAGCGTCTCGGACGCAAGTGGCGGTGTTTCGTACCACAAGTGGCACGAAGTCCGTCAGTGCTTTTCATTTCAATTTCATGTGAAGAAGAAGAAATGAATTTTATAAGATATTAGTAATATTAGCATATTAGTAAATGTCATCGAACAAACTTTTTATTGGGATCAGAAATCACGCGAAACTGACCCACCCCTGAGCCTTCTTGTGACAACCATCTTGGTTTTTTATCTCTTTCTTTTGTATATGTTAGACAAACACGGAATGAAAACATGGCCACCACAACAAGGCTCTCACCAGATGGCGTATCGCAGTATTTCAGATCCCAATAGTTCACACATAAATACTCCTTCCAAATGTAAATATACATATTAATAAACTACGGATTCCACTAAGAATTAAGCGGAAGTTTTTTCTTATTTTTTTTAATTTTTCTTAGTTTAGAATAAAAATAAGATTTTTTGGTTATGTTGTCATTTTTTAATTTAAAATACATGAAGAGGATTTTATTTTTTTAAATCAAAAGTATATTTTTATGAATATTTAAGATTAATAAAGATGTCAATATCATTTGTTTACACTGAAATGTAATCTTTTACATATATTTTCAATTAAAAAATAACAAATTCATTTTTATTCAAAAACATTAACGGACTTGCCCGGATGAAATTATACTTGAAATGAAAAGCACTGACGAAATAGATAGCAACAGGATCCAACGGAATTGTCATATTTGTGAATGACCCTTCAAAAAATCCACTTTCCACAAGTGGCACGAACTAACGAACTTGCCACAAGTTGGACGGACTTCGTGCTACTTGTGGTACGAAACACCGCCACTTGCGTCCGAGACGCTCGTGAGCCGTACAGGCTTCCGTACTTTCGCGAATCTATTGTGCGTTGGCCTATAGAGTTCAGTGGTCAAGAATGATTTTCGCGCGAAACTATTGTGCGTTGGCCCATACGCCATAAACTTTCGCGAAGTTATTGTGGTTATACCTTAATGGTGTTCGAAACCAAAACATCCGCTCATGAAAATATTTTTATTTATGTTTTGGTTGTAGCTGTCATTTTTATATAGGTTATGTCAACAAACCGTTTTTATTGAAAAGAAAAAAACTTAACAATTGTTTGTATATAAGATATTACTTATACTACACAAGAAAATGAATTTTTGCACTAGGTATGATAGTAAAGAGTTTGTGATATATTTTATAGATTGCAGGTGTGGATATTGAATGATTTCTTAATATGACTACAGTTATTAAAGATTGTTTGTTTGTTTTGTTTAAATGGCCTCTTGTATTCATTTATTAAAGATGTATTTTTTAAAATTCAATGAAAATAACAGCTTTACAAATGTACATTGTGAGAGATTAAAGTAAGAATTCTTCAGGTGAAAATTTGAGTACCTTCTATAAGACTTGAAAAATGGTTAAAACACTCATTGTATCATTTGTCATGATATACAACATTTACAACTTTGCTGAACAGCTTAGAGATGGTTTATAGTTATTCTTCTTGTCTCCTCAGAATTTTAAGGTAAGAGAAAAATTTTCATTATTCGGTGAACCTGCACAGGATTTTCAAATATGCAAGCATAAATACTTCCTACACTGAAGAAAAAGTTAATTAAATCAAGTTAATGCATTTACTTGAGGTACTTTACTTGAAACTGATTTTTGATTGATTTTCTTACTGGAAGAAATTTATTTTATTGAGTCAAGTAATTTTGAGCATTGAGCAATGTTCTTGAAATAAGAAAATATGAGTTTCATACAAGTAAATATATCTTACTGTTTCAAGCGAAATGTTTTACTTCCGTCAAGAACAGAAAAAGAATTGAGTCAAGAATATTATTTTCTCATGTCAAGTGATTTACGTTGAGTATTTTATTTTCTTGGGTCAAATCGTTTTGTTGTTTCCTTCAAAACAACTTTTTACTTAATCTAATACTCATAGTCTTGATCCAAGAAAATGGAAAGATTAATAGAAATAAATACTTTTTTCAACTTGATTAAAATTTATATTGTTTGAATTAAACATTTATCAATCCAAGAGTTTAATATACTTTAAGCATTTTCATATTATATTGTTTCAAGAACATTCAATTTCTAGAAATAATGTTATATTATTTTAAATGAAATAATTTATTTTTTCAGTTGAAATAGTGATATAATCTTGAATGAAATCATTTTTTTGTTTCCTTGAAAATATTTTTTATTTAATTCAACGCTAATATAGTCTTGAGTCAAGAAAATGCGAATATTAATATAAGTAAATACTTGTTTTAACTTGATTAACGCATAGTTCTTGAATTAAGAATTTAGTATTTGGCAGAAGTAAATATGTTATTATCGCAACCCAATATTTTATTTTCCCGAAGTACCAAAAAGTATTCAATATAGAATATTATGTTCTTAAGCAACATAATAAAATATTGTCTGAAGAATTTTCATTTCTTGAATCAAATAGGAGTTTTTGAAATTCGTCAATTGAGTCAGGATGGCATAGTAGTCTACTCTCTAAATCTGAATCAGTCATATTTTACTGATTAGCAGTAGAAATCTACTAATTGCCATGGCGAGATTTGAGCAACTGACAATTAGTAGAAATTTACTGATTGAATCAGTAATATAAATATATGGCGGCGGCCATAAAATCTACTGATTTAATAGTTAATTTTAAAGGTTATGTTATATACAAATTACTGATTTACATAAGTTGTTTTCTATTGCTTGCATATTGACTAATTATATTAGTAAATTTCAAAAAATAACTGAAACTTCAGTTAAAATGAAAATTAATGAATTAGTAATGTAATTAATGAATTAGTAAAATTTCTATTGATTCAGATTAATCTCAATCTGAATCAGTAGATCAGTAAATCAGTAAATATGTATGTAAAATAAACATTATTTAAATAAATAATAAAAAATATGAATATTAATAATAATAAATAAAAATGTTTGACTTATGAATTAGACATGGTGGGATAAGGAAGGGGTGTAGGAGGGGGGGGGTAATTCAAGTGATTATTTACTTTTATTGGAAAAATATTATTTTGTTTGAACTCCATAAGTTTTCTCAAGTCAAGAAAATATTTTCTTGATTTAATATATATGTATGATCTTGACTTAATATATTTTACATTTCTTAGAAGTCAATTAACTTCTTAGACGAATTCCATATTTTCTTGGACCAAGAACATGCGTTCTTCTGACAATGTAAATAATATTTTGATTATATCTTTACTTACTTGAACCAACATTACAAAGATTTAAATGAATCCAATGCAATAATTGATTTGACTACAGATATTCTTAGAACAAGAAAATATTTCACTCACAGAAGTCGATTAATTTTTTGATCGAATTCCATATTTCCTTGGATCAAGAACATATGTTCTTCTTTCAAATATACTGTACCAAGTAAATGGTTTTCTTGAAATAGTAGCATAATTGATTTGACCGTATTCAGTCCCACGATTTTCTTGAATCAAGTAAAATTTTCTTGGTTCAATACTATTTCTTTTTCAGTGTATACTAAAATTCCTTCCTGCTTTATTTACTTTATTTACTAGAACTGATATTTATCATTTTGTTTATTCTGCTACAGGGAAAGAACTCTTTTACTATTAGTGCACGATTCGCTTGTTTCCATGCAATTTTAGGACAGATTCCGAGCAAATCAGTGAACGCCATATTAGTACGATTGCTCATGCTTCAATTGTAACAGAGTTCTCTCCGTGTAAAATTTCTCAAGCTATACTTTTCATTTTTATATCCAGTGAGATAGTACCTATATGAAAACCCAAATTTTAATATTAAACTGAAAAAATACAAATATTAAGAAAAACTGCCAATTCCTTATATTATTATTGACTTTTGCAAAGAAGTCTTGATACTCCAGTTATTATTAATGTCTTATATTGATTTAGGATTAATTTATAGGATTTGCACTTTCAAGATCAACTTAGAGATAGGTCAATGGTCAATTGTTGTAAAAATCAGATAAGGAATATTGTAGAATGTTGAAAAATGTAAAGATCAGGTGTAAAATGTAAGGTCTGTTAAGCTGGCACCGCAAGTTTGATATTTTTAAATATCTCCTATGTGAGAATTTAGGGCTCAATTATGGGTAATTACCGCTCAAAATGAAAAATTTACCGCAAAGAACACACTCCACCATATAGTTTTTTTTAAAAAAGGAGTTGGTGCTACCTTAACTCTTAGCTGGCACAACTCACTTCAAAACCCAAATAAAAAATCGGCTATTTAAAATTTGACTTTGCCATAATTTAGGGCTCATTTAGGGCTTTTAAATGGACGTAGAAAGAAATTAAAAAAAAATTTCTAAATTGAAAAAAAATCTTAATTTTTTTTAATGAGTTGGTGCTACCTTAGCTCTTAGCTGGCACAACTCACTTCCAAACCCAAATAGAAAATCAGATATTTAAAATTTGACTTTGCCATAATTTAGGGCTTATTTAGGTCTTTCGAACGGACGTAGATAGAATTTTTAAAAAAACTTTAAAATCAAAAAAACATTGCTTCATATATTTTTTAAAAATTTTTTTGAAAATTCTTTCTTCGACCGTTTCAAATCCTTAAATGAGCCCTAAGTTATGGCAAAGTCAAATTTTAAATAGCCGATTTTTTATTAGGGTTTTGAAGTAAGTTGTACCAGCTAAGAGTTAAGGTAGCACCAACTCCTTTTTAAAAAAAATATAAAGATTTTTTTTGATTTAGAAATTTTTTTTTAAATTTCTTTTTGCGTCCATTTCAAAGCCCTAAATGAGCCCTAAATTATGGCAAAGTAAAATTTTTAATATCTGATTTTCTATTTGGGTTTTGAAGTTAGTTGTGCCAGCTAAGAGTTTAGGTAGCACCAACTCCTTTCTAAAAAAAACTATATGGTTGATTGTGTTCTTTGATTTTGAATTTTTTTTGAAAATTCTTTCTATCTCCATTTGAAAGCCATAAATAAGCCCTAAATTGTGTCAGGGTGGATTTTTAAATATTTCGTTTTTTATTTGGTTTTTTAAGCGGTTGATGCCAGATTAACGTTAAGGTAGCATCAACCCCTTTTTTTTAAAAAAAATAGAGTAGAGTGTTTTTGTTTTTGAAATTTTTTTTGAAAATTCTTTCTATGTCCATTTGAAAGCCCTAAATGAGCCCTAAATTATGGTATGGTAGAATTTTAATTATCTCTTTATTTATTTGGTTTTTTAAGCGGTTGGTGCCAGCTCAACGTTAAGGTAGCACCAACCGCTTTTTTTAAAAAAAATAAAGAGCGGTAAATTTTTCATTTTTAGCGGTAATTAGCCCTAATTGAGCCCTAAATTCTCACCTAGGAGATATTTTAAAATATCAAACTTGTGGTGCCAGCTTAACAGACCTTAAAAAGTACGTAATGGCATTGTACTAAGGTCTACAATTTAATAGATTACGTGAAATTGATCACTTTTCTTCAAATAGAGAATTTGAATTTTGACAACACTAAAAAACATCTTAGGCGCACAGTAGGGAAGGATGGGGCAAGGATAGTTAGGTAAGACGTTTTTGAATCTAGCGACCAAACCTGAATTTGTATCTGCAAACGAATAGTATTTTTGGAAAAGTAAATTTTCGTTTTCTTTATTTTATTGGATTTAGACTATTCAATATTGATATATTAAGTGTTAACAACATGGTTTAAACATTTTATAAATATCAATTATTGCATTATTTTCGCACTTGAAAATATTTTTACAAAATTTGAAAATGCTTTTATAAAATTTAATATTTATTTTCTTTCCGTGCATCTAACTTTAAGAGTGCATTTAGTTCAAAAAAAGTTTTAATTAATCAACATTTTCCCTTTACATGCAGGCTTACCAACGTTTTTTAAAGGCTTCTAGCCTTGAAATAAATAATTATTAAACGAGAAAAATTGCTTTCGATGCAAAGAAATATTGAATCAACGTTGATAATTAAAAATTTTATTTTTTTTTTTGAAATACTCATTCCCTTTACAGGTCGCAATCGATGATCGCCCGGCCCGGCAGGTAGAGTGGGGGTATACAACTTCCCCTTACAGGATGCAATCAATGATCGCCCCTTTCTCCCCCTGGAAGCGTTACGTATTTTTTGAATGTCCCCTGAGTTCTATTTTATGTTTATTGCAGTCGTTTGGAATCAGTTATACATACTATCTGATTAAAAACAGCCTATCAAACGAACATAAATTGCACTCAAAAAAATTCATGGTAAATTTGACTACATTTTAACTATTTCTCCTAGTTCCAGGAGACGCCTATGGACAAACAGTAGTTGAAACAACTTTGTAAAAATTGTCATATTAACTGTAAAGTATAGTAAAAATTACCACTTTTACAGTAAATTTAACCAAATAAAGAAGTTATTTCAATGATTTTTTGTCATTCACATTAACTGTTTCATTAGGTTGCAGTAACTAATTTTCATAGTTCTAGGAGGCGCCTATTAACAAAAAGTAGTTGAGACAAATATGTAATATTTGAGGACATTCTTGTCACTATG